GAGTGATTTGATGGCCCAATTGTCAATCGGAACCTTGGCTGCAGTTTGCATCAGGAACCGCACGCGTATTCTGCAGAATTCGCTCATGTGCGCTGAACGGCACCGTCAAGAACGCATTTCCTTGTTGCTCGGGGGCACGTATACGTCGTTGCACGTCGGCAATCCCGTAGCCATTCCACTCAAACGTTACGCCGCATGAGAATCCTGCATGGCCATTTGCATATATCATCGATCAACCAGACAGATCGCGAGGACGCGCTCACCACGAGTTTTCCCCGGCGACATACTCTGTTCTCAAGTGCGCATACTGTTGTCTTTCCAAACTATTATACATTTTAGGACACGAGAGAGATGAAGAATACGACGACCTATAACAGATGGAGACGGGGTTGGGAGATGTCTATGAAGAGCCAAGTGCGGTTGACGACGGCGAGCCGTCTCAGGCGTCCAATGGGCGAGATTCTGGCATCGTCCCCGGTGGTCTAGCAGCCCTTATGGATCGAGTGGATGCACAACTAAGCGAGCGTGGACCAAAGCTTTCCGGACGTCGATCCAAACATCTATGGCGGCGAAGGCACGGGGGGTGGGGGGCCTGTGTCGAGTGGCGACGTGTATGACGGCGGAGAGGAGCAATACGGTGGTGTAGAATCGAACACCGAACAGCTTCGACAGCATCTCTAGCCGCCAAAATGAGTCAGACAGTCGTAGCAGCGCTGAAGCAATGCGTAGGCTGGAAAATCCTCACACCCATGCCTCGTCTTATGCTGCGAGCTCGACGATGGAGGGCGGCCCTGAAAACCTTATGCACAACACGAATGCGGAAGAATCTGATTTCTATCCATTCCGCACGAAGGAACAGCAGCTGATATGGATATGGCAGCACACGCACCAGATTTCGCAAAAAGCCTTAGGCGGGCTGCTGGACATACTCCTTCTCGAGGACGAGGGCACCGGTTTCGACGTGAGGGGACTGGAACGTGTTAACGCTGCGCACTTCAACAACCGCATGCGGCAATACCTTCCTCTTCTACGGGTTCTCGTGCGAAATGTCCCGTCAACACAAGAAGGGAAGAGCTCGGCGGTGGTGTATGACGTACCTGTGAACCTGCTTCTCGCTCGCGACATGAAGCTAGTCTCGGAGACGGCACTCTCAGAAACCTACGCGGCGGGGAAAATTTTGCGCGGAGAGGAGGCCGCCGCCAACTCGTTGACGAACGACCATGTCAATTGTATCCCGACCAAGCTGGTCGACAACGTGAGGGAGTCCAACATGAACGGTACGCTGTCGAGTACGTCCCCATTCATGGGGCTTGATGGCATACAGAGCAGTGTTTGTGGGAGAAAAGTGTACGTACACGACATTTGCATTTGCGAAATCGCTGGCACGCCTTCTGCCTGTCGTCTCCTCGAGATCTTCTGGGACACTGCAAGCGGCGGAGAAGTTGCAACTGTTAGAGGGTTTCGGCCAGTAGCGGAGGTGCGAAATGTGGGGCAGGCGGAGATGCGAGGAAGACTTGTGCGAGTCTGGGAAGACTGTACTGCTGGAGCGGAAACACAGCTCAATGTTGCCGGCGTCCTGGGCCTGGCGGAGATCTACACGGCCGACGAGATGGAAGCTGACAAGCACGATGGTGAGTGGGACCAAGGTGTTCGGTGCATTCATGGGATCGGTTTTTGGGGGTAGGGTTCGTGGTCCAAACGGCGCCGTTCCGAGGAGGACTCGACGCGGAAGTACGAGGTGACCCACGCGCCTTGGTGCAAGGAAAGAACCTCTGAAGACCCACTGTTCGTCTTGAGGAGGGAAGGCTTCCATCTCAACAACGACAACCTCGTTTTTATTTCGGCCCCTATCGCTTGCTTCAACGACGCCTTCAACTGCTTTGGCATGGGAAACAAGGTACGCTANAAAACGGCGCCGTTCCGAGGAGGACTCGACGCAGAAGTACGAGGTGACCCACGCGCCTTGGTGCAAGGAGGGACCCTCTGAAGACCCACTGTTCGTCTTGAGGAGGGAAGGCTTTCATCTCAACAACGATAACCTCGTTTTTATTTCGGCCCCTGTCGCTTGCTACAACGACGCCTTCAACTGCTTTGGCATGGGAAACAAGGTACGCTGCCTCCGCATTGTGATCGACCAGGATATTGTGGCACTGTCATTCATGTGTTCCCCTGCCTCCACCCCTCCCGTCAAGCAATACACCTTTGTAGATGTACCTCGTAAGTGTTGCCACATACAGCATTGTCTTCGGCCCCTTCAGCAGTTGGGTCTACATTGTCGGAGCTACTAGGCGCAGCACTCACAGGCACACGCGCACGCCGTGCCTAGCGTGCCGCCACCTCTTCGGTCACAGGTCATGCTCGGGGCACGCCTCGTCTTGTCGAACCACACACACTTGCCACCTCTCTTGTGATTCATGCATTGTCGTTGATTTGTCGGCTTGTCAGCATTCCGTAGGTGGCACATACTTCGGTTGGCCGTGGAGGAGCCAGGCGGTGCAAAGACTGAGGCGACAGACGCACGTCGGAACCCTTGCTAGCACCGGAGCTTCTTGCCAAGGCGAGATCGGTCTTCAGTGTGAGATCCTTGGATTGCTGCAGCGGGGGTGCTTGGGAGAATGCATGCTCAGGGACGACGACGGGGCAATATCGAATCATGAGGTATGCTGACAAGCCCTCGGCAATTTTGGGATAACACGCGTGGTGTAGGTAGTGGGAGGGGGGGGGGTTGTACTCATACTCATAGTCGTGCATGCCGTAGTCGTTAGACCATTGACCTCGCATCCCTACAAAGCCGGGACGGAGCACGCCGGGTTCTCACCGGACCAGGCTCTCACATCACCAAGCGCGAAGCGCCGTGAGATATTCGGCGAGTCGCATGAAGGGTGCGCTGCATCCTGCTAAGGGTTTTCGGCATCTTGTGCTTACTTCCTTGCGTACGGATGACAGCTGCGTATGAATTAATTTACTTTCTGGTGCTTTCACTTCCAGAGACAGTTGTAAGCACTGTGTAACTGCCTCGAGGGTGCTTGACCATTTCAACACAACGTGGTGCGATCATCCCCCTTGCGCGGAGTGAGGGTTCTCGACCCCGCACAACATGATCTAAAAAACGGTAACCTGGTTGCGGAGTTCTGCCCCCTCCCTCGCAGTAGTGGCTCAGTCGTGTAGCGACGACCTTAAGCATCACCTTGCCGGCGTGTGCGACGAGAGAGATGCCCCGGTAGTTGCCGCACTCCATCGTGTCCCCCTTCTTGAACAGCACTTTGATGGTGGCATCCTTCCACT